TCGGGTGCATCCTTTTGTTTTTCTTTAAACCTTAAAATGGGAAGATTAGAATCATTAACCTCGGGTATTGTCAGTAAATCACCGCACCCTTTTATGTGAGACAAAAACCAAATTTGTAAAAGTTCAAGGGGTGCATGAATTGTTTTGTCACCATCTTGCTTATATTTAGTGAGAGAAATGAAAGTCTCGGCTAAAATGGTGTTGACAAAATTCTTTTCAAGACAAACTTGTTGGACCAACCATGCGATTGACGGGTTACATGCGTTCTTACAATAGGGGAAAATGACAAATTCGAAAAACACGCTAGTAAAAAGATTCTACCCTTTTGAAAATGTGTGGCTTCGTCAAAACGTCGGTTTAGGAATGTAAAAGGACACATCCCACGATTTGCTTTCAAAATTTTTCTTACTTCATCTTCTTCGACATTCATAAATTCTAACAAGATTAACGCGGGGTTCATTCCTAGGGGTGATGTAATTAATTCCAAGTCCAAAGGTTTTCCAATGATCACACTATATACTTCCAAAGTCGGAGTAAGCTCATGCTTACCAAATATAAAGGTAGTCGTTTCCAGACACTAGAAATGTGCTAAGGCTCGAATAATGCCGGTACGGACTTTGACCTCCAATAGGGGGAGCAACCTCCCGATCTTAGCTTCCACTAGCGTACGGTTGGTCAGACTGAGTCGGTTCCACCAAATGCTAAGCTCGCCTTTAGGAGCATCGAGGATCCGAATGTCAGCCCCTCCCATAGTATATAGACCAAGACTCACGATCGACCTAATGTCATGGACCGACCAAAGAAAATACAAGAAAATATGTAAATTGCGAGATAAAGGCTCAGAAGACTTACTTCGCCCGGTAGAACCATGGCAATCACATAGATATGTAAATGAAATGTGAGGTTCGATTTCTATCTAGACACTAGCTTGCAAAATGGAGCCCAAGAATTGTTTGGGCTAAACAAACATGGTCGTGGTTTGGCCAGGATTCCCTTGACTCCGGCTCAGTCAAAGAGCCGACCCACGTCACGGGTTGCAACTGGGGTGGTAGCTCAATGACACCGAGAAAGAAAACTTTCAGGACCAAGAAGGGCAACCCATACTACGCGAAAGCAGTCGGGGTGTCCACTAACTCCGGCTCAGTCAAAGAGCCGACCCACGTCACGGGTTGCGACTGGGGTGGTAGCTCAATGACACCGAGAAAGAAAACTTTCAGGACCAAGAAGGGCAACCCATACTACGCGAAAGCAGTCGGGGTGTCCACTACCTCAAAGTACCATCCTAATCCAATACCACCCAGGTCCGGCAGCGGGTAATGTGTGTGGTGTAGTCAATGCAAAAAGGCATGCACAACAGATTATATCATACAGCGCTTCGTACATAAAATAAATCATACATTCATCACCTCCCTGCAAAACAAAGGTTAGCAATCACGCCTCCCCTTATACCTCCCATTTTGCAAAAACATTTAACACCTTAAACATTACAGACGTACATGGGATCCTCGCTGTCAAACAAAATATTTTTCGAAAAGAAAAATTGGCCTAAGTCTGCTAAGGGTTTTCAAGTCCCCAGTGGAGTTGCTAAGCTGTCGCGACCTTGCCTCCGAGCGGGTGTGACCACCTAGGAGCTCGACTAATGGATTATTATGTCCAAACCTAATGCGGGCTCTCTCAAGCCCTACCAATTCGCGACTTAGGATTTAAGTTCTTAATGTGCGAGTTTCTTCATGCTAGAGTCACCACTAATCTATTATGTGGTGGGTCGATTAGAAGCCCAAATAAAGCACAGGGAGATATGTTCTATTCTTACGAACAAGAAATTTTGAGCTCGGAGACTTGGTTTAGCTAGAATTAATCTAACGCCCATTCGATACCTTTTCTTTTCAAAAAAATGTTTGAGTAAGCAGTCTAGATCCATTTTATTATCTAATCACTAACATGTGAGGTGACCATGCGGGTGCCCACTCCACCAATTTAACACCCAATAAAGAAAGCAGTAAATAAATTATTAGCTTAGGAGAATAACATACCTTTTAGCAACGTAAGCATATGCATTGTTAGTTGGAAAATCACACAAACAGCCCTAATATAATTTCTAATTAACAAGCGATTCACTCAATGCATATTTTTTGGATGTTTTCACTTTATTACATGCAAGCTAACCTAAGTGCAATGACAAACAAAATATGACATGCGATTAATTAAACCTAGCAAGCAAACTTTATGTCATGCGACGAAATGACCTAATTCTAATGACAGGCAAAGGATGTATTTTTGGTATTTTTCATTTAAAATTCGAAATAATGAAAAATGCCTAAATTAACTTGCGATCTATTCTAGAAATACACTCTAACGTATCCAAAATGACTTCTTTTTTATATTTTTCATGAAAATTCGAAATTATAAAATACCCTAAATAATCTATTAAGACTAGAATAACCCCTAATTTAAACTAGGAAATAAACTACCCTAAATCCCAATTTAAATTTAGGAACTATCCCATTTTCCTAACATACCTAGGATATCCTAAACATGCATCATCACTAATTTAAACACTAACTAACATTTTTTGGATTTTCATTATTTAAAAGGAAATAAATCAAACAAGATAGCAATCACACTCCGACAACCCAAGCGATCCGCAGAATCCTTCTTATCATCTTTAATTTTAGGAAACGATTTAGGCTAGCGATCATATCCATGTGATTATAGATAAAGCCTATCGTTTAAATTTGGAAAGCAAATAAGATACGCTATTGTATCCAAGTGGTTAGGGATAAGATAACAATCTTCCGTACCACTGCGCATCATACCTTATTTATAAGGTCAGACGGACATTCAGGTACATTGCTAAATTAGGAAATTTTCCTAATTCGGGGTATTTTCGAATATTGCGGATATCGTACACATTATCCCCAAAATATTCACAGAATATTTAAAACATCCAAAAATCAGGGAATTAAATATTTTAAAAATATCGAATGAGAATTTTACCTAATTTCGCGAATAACTTTCCAAGTTTGAATCATCGGCGGATCGGGATCACGAATCGCGGGACGACCGATGGTGGGTGGACCGATGGCGACGCTTAGCGGAATATGGCCGAGTGGAGCGGGATGCGACTCAGATGGCAGCATCGCAGCCAAGGCAGGCGTGGCAGACGGGCATCGGCAGTGATGCTGGTAGAGGAGCAGCAACGGATGGCTGGCATCAGGGCAGCCACGGGCTGCCAATCAGCAGGGAGCGACTCGGGTGCAGCAAAGGACGGCCGAGAAGCAAGGGCCGATAGTGGTGTGTGTGGGGCTCGGCACGGGCTGAGATGGAGCGGCTACGGGCTGCAACACGGACGACAGGGAGCGGCTCGGCGAGGCTTAGTTGAGCACGGTAGCTACGTCGGGCTCCAGGGAAGCAGCAGCTCAAGTCGGCGTGGCAATCAGTAGCAGCAATGTCGTGAGGGTAAGCATGGCACGCCGGCAGCAGCAAGGTCAGCCCTCGTGAGCTGGCCGTCGCGACAAGAGGCGGTAGCGGTGGGCACGACCGGGATGAGGGATGGGAGGTGCGGTTGGCACGAGAGCGGGCTCGGCAGGACACCAAGCGACGGCGCAGGCATGGGACCAGGAGGCGGTAGCAATAGGCGCGACCGAGGCGAGGGCCAGTGCGAGTGGGCAGCAATAGGGCGTCACTGCTAGAGCGGCGGCGGTAGGTGGCAGTAGACGTGGCAGTGCCGGGTCTCCGTTGGATGCGGATCGGCAGGCGCGGCCGGGAGAGGGAGGTAGTGGCCCGGGCACTGTAGCGCGGCGGTGGTGGCCGGCGCAAATGCAGCGCAAGCGAAGGGGCTCGGTTGGCCTCTCCTTTTGGCTCTCACTCTCACTCATGTGTATCACTCTTGTGTCTCTGAAAATTATGAACGCTCCCCTTTTGATTAGGGGTATAACTGAGTATATATAGTGCTAACCTCGGTTTATCGCGGGCTTAAGTGTCCTAATGAGCTTTGGTTTAGGCATTTCCTTTTAATTTTATTTTGATTTCAAACGGGCTGAATTAACTTTGGCTTTTCTCTAATTAAGTCCAGTTGGCTGATTTAAGCTCAATTTAAAACAACCAAGGCTTCTTTCGCCTAGCAATTTTCGGTCCGCCTTTCCCCGAGTGAGCCGAGCCTCGCTCGACGTGCGGACCGGGTTTGCGCGATGGATTTTAGGCTTGCTCGCCACCACCGGTCCGATAATGGAATGCGATTAATTTATATGAACCTAAACAATATGCTATGCAATTCTAATATTTTTGTTTAGGTGTTAAGATTTAATCCCCGGTTTTATGTGAAATTAATTACTAAATGATTAGCCGAAATTTAGGTATCAACAATGGGTCAAAACGGGTTAAATGGGTCTATTTTCGTCAAACCATTTTCAACCCGACTCGATCCATCTGTTTGATAGGTGTAATTATCATGTATTGAATTTTGTAATTTTTTTTATAAATAATGTTTTTAAACTGGTCAATCTATTGACCCCAGCAATTTGTGACCATGTACGTCTCCTCGGACCTCGCTTCCGTCCGGTGGCTGCTCAAACTGAGTGAGGGGCATACGACAGAGAGAGACGGAGAGAGAGAAGACGAGCTTCCATGGAGTCAACCATATCGAAGACTCTCTATCTCTCTGACGACTCCGTCCCCCCTCAACCCCTTCGTCTTCCGCCTCCACCGCTACCTCCACCGCTACCTCTCCAGGTCGCTGCATCGTCAATGCCTCCCGTCTCGGCTCGTCGTTCATACACTCTGCTGCATTTACGCTGACCGCATCCCCAGCCCGAGCTTCGGTTCGGCCCCGTCTCTGTATCCCCCTCCGGCTCCCGCGAGGTACCGTTAGCAGTGCGTTTCGAGCTCCGCTGCTCCTTTCGGCGCCTTCGGCGGACATGGCGGCGGCGGCGGCGGACGAGGAGGAGGCGGCGGTGGCGGCGGAGTTGACGGCGAGGATGGGAAGGCAAAATCGGTCGTGGATGGAGCCGAGGAAGCCTTCAGCTGTCTTCTCTGATGTCATAACTCTCGACGTCGGAGTAAGGCCCTCTCTCTATATATATCCGTCGCACTTTATGTGAATTTACGATCTAAAAAGCTTCGATTTTGTCCATGCGTGTCCAACTTTCCCTGCATTGTATTGCTGAAGATGTTATTCTGTGGTGCAGATCATGTTTTGTTTGTGCGGTCACTTGAATGTCTCTGTTTCGTCTCTGCGGCGAATGACTTGTGGGGGATATGCGGCGAGTGTGAAGAGAATTCTGGAAAATCAAGTGAGTTTACCATTGCTTTTGTTTTTCTTGTAATTCTTGAAGAGAGTTTGCTATTATACTCTCTAAGGTAACTAGGATCGTCCATTTTTCATATGAAAAGAAATCGTCATCTTTAACTTGAATTAAACTTAGTAGGACAGAATAGTCATCAACTGGGTTACCCTTTTTGCCCTCTCATAAATGTAAAGAGAAATAAGGTTCTAAATTATCTCTCATGTGGGTGGAAAGAATCACAGGAGAAATGGCTTTCGTCACTTTTTGTGGTAAGATTTGAACCCTGTGTGTTTTTTTCTTTTTCTGCTCTACCTTTGGACAGCCACAAGTATGTGCTGCCAGCGTCGATCTTACAACCGAGACATCTGAAGCCAAGGCTGTTCCTAACTGGCAAAAAGAGTTTGGGAAAAAACTTGCAAAACACTTGACAGATTGTGGCTTTAACCCTCGTGGTAAGCAGTTTTATTCAGCATCTGTTTGTTGCAGTAGAATGAGGTTTGGCTGATATTTGTGAATATCATTGCCACATATAACGTACCTTTTATCATAGATTTTCTGTGTCAATGACTCCATCTACTAGTTGGAAGTACAAGCTTTTATATCTCTTTGGCTTGTCACTGGAATCTTACAAGTTGGGGTTTAGTCGCTTAAGATGAGGTTCCTTGTCATCAGGAAAAAAAAAAGGTGAAATGTAAAGTAACAAGGAGAAACTAGAGTTGCCGACTTTAGGAGCTTTTCTTTATTATGGAGAATCTCGGTCACGATTAAACCAAGACTAGAGTTGTCTCTAGTACAAAAATGTTGCTTGCCAAATTTGAAACCCTGAGAAACTAGCTAGGAAAAAAGGGGCAAATTGTGAAGGATACAATATGTTCCTTGGGCTAGCTTTTCTTTTGGAAAAACCGTATTCGTTGTTGATGGAGACTGAATTGAGGTCCCTGATTTGACTGAACAATTTAATTTTATAGGTAGTTTTAGACTCTAAGAATCCTCGTTACTTATTCTTGCTGAACACTTAGATGCAGGCCGCTGGTTGGATTTGAATGAAATATTTTTCTTGTTAGTTTTAGGGGCTAATAGTATTGCTTTTTAAATGGATCAAAGTTGATACTCCGTGTTCATTAGCTGAACTCACCAAGTTTTGGATTGGTGCTCTTATCTACAAATTGGTTTTTTGTCATCTATTAAAAAATTGTGGACTTTTTTTATAGAACAGTCGACAGAAAAAAATTCAGTGATGGAAAATGTGTGGGAAGTTGTATTTTCCATTGTGGTCTAGTGTGGGTCCCTAGTATTTTGTAATTTGATCGGTTAGGTCTAGATTAGTGAGTATGGGCAATGACTGCTGTAGCATTATGGTTAGTTTGTATGCTTAGTATCAGTTACGTCTAGAAGTCTTTGCTGCAATTTCATGAAATTTCATTTGGCATCATTACTGTCCTTGATATGATAATGTGGTGATGATATAAGCAATTGATATCATATAAGCATAATTGCAAAAACCGTCCTCAATTTTGCTTTTCATATTAAATACCGTCCTCACATTTCAAAATCTACATCATGCATCTCCCCAACCTAAATTGACCTATTTGCCCTTATTCATGCTTGAGATCTACACCCGGAAAGTGGAATCCAACATTGAGGATGGGGTCATTCGAGAAATATGTGTGGGTGGGAGATGCAACTTGAAATCCACAAAAAAAAACGTGAGAATGATAATTGTAGTTTTGAAATGTGAGAATGGGGTGTTTGATATGAGGAGTAAACTTTAGGATGATATCTGTAATTTTCGCTGTCATATAATACAAACTAACTCCGTGAAGAATATTTTTAATGCAGGTTGTGGTTGACAATTTCTCTGGACGCTCTCGTGGATTTGGTTTTGTAACTTTTGATGAGAAGCAAGCAATGGATGAGGCTATTGAGGCTATGAATGGGATGAACTTGGATGGGAGAAAATCATTGTGGAAAAAGCTCAGCCTCAAGGTTCGGGTAGAGACCAAGATGGTGATTGCAGTCATGACCGGGGTCGTGAACGTGACCCTAACCGGGACTATGGTGGTGGATGTGGAGGCGGAGGTGGAGACTGGAGAGTGCTTGTGGCAAGCCTGGGCATTTTGCATGGGAGTGTCCTAATGAAGGGGGCAAAGGAGATAGGTGCGGGGGGGAGGGACGACAGGTATAGACGCGGAGGAGGTGGTGGTGGTGGGCACTATGGTCCTGATCGAAAGGGTGATCGATCTGGCGGGTGCAATAGGGATAGTGGTACTCGAGGAGGATCGGGAAATGACTGCTATAATCGGGACCGTTCCGGTCCCTGTGAACGTCGTGGTACAGGGAACTTCCGTTGGGTAGAAAGAATACTCCTGACAGGTATGCACACAATTTTTTCCAGTTATAGTAAAGCAGTTGATTCTGTGCTGATTGAAAATTATTTTGTGCTTGTAGCAGAGCAATTGGAGGTACTGCTTTTACTTGCTGGAGTTGTCAAAGTCTCTTCTGATGCATCTCTTCTTTATTGTTCTCTGGGCGGACAAATCTGCCTTATCAGTCTTTTGATGTGCAAACTTTGGCTAGAAGATTCAACTGTATGATGTCCTTGAATGCTCGTTTTGATGTTTGGGTCTGATGACATTGCTTACTTGACTTAAACAACCAAATTTGGCCTTACTCTTTCAATGCTACTGGATTCTCTTTTGCTTACATGCTTTAGCAATGGCAAATGCATCTGAGATCGATCTTGGTTGACTTCTTCATTGGCAATTGCGACTGTGGAGCGTGGACAGCTTTTTGGTGTCTAGATGGCTCTTTTGAGGATAGGGCAAGAGATTCACCTGTGGAAGTAGTGCGGTTTTCTCTTTGCAAAAGAGAAGCTGCCATAGAAATGAATGCCCATTTTGGCTACGATTTTTCAGATGTCTTACTTTTTGAAAAGGAGTGAAGCAGGTAAACTCTATGTTTTCTTATACACATTGAGCATGTGAGCTTTTTGTCTATGGTTTGCACTATATTAACTCTGCTAAGCTTCAGGCAGGATTTTTGGTTGTTTGTGCTATTTTGATTCGCGGTCCCGTTATTGCAGTCCGGTTATTTTCATGTCATAGGACGTAGTTTTAGTCTTAAAAATTCTGGAAAGTCCTTTTGGCCTCAAGAAGCTATTCCTTTATGCAATTAACTCCGTAAAAATTCCGACTCACCTTCCCCACACTGTACTGATGGATGACTTCCTTTCTCAGTAAAAAGTGATCTTTTGGAAGCTTTGGTGAGCATGGCAATTTGACAGATCAAGTCTTGCTTCTGTTTCACATTCTTGAATGACACGGGAAGGTATTTTGAGCAACCGCGCTTCATGAGATGCAGACCTTAAATGACTCGAAGGGGATGATACACCGCTTCGATTCCCCCTTACCAATTCAAGAAAGATTTCGTTCAACTGAGCTCATCGACTGTGAAATCAAATTTGATCAGATCGGGGTGAGTTGTACGCGGGTCCCGTTCTTTCTGGGGCGGAGGGGCTTTTGTCTCTTACACCTCCATGTACGACAAGCAGGGACAGCACATCTCAATGGTACGGTATCAGGGTGTCGTCAGGATGAGCACATTCTCGTGCTGGTGACCCGATGTTGTGAGCACTCGAGCTTTGACTCTTCCTATGTAAGAAAGCTCGAGGCAAGAGACCTACCACCCCAAAATTTGCACGGGACCTAGAAAGGGAGGCATCTCCGATGGGTGATCTTGGCAACACAGGAGGTGTTCCTTTGCGTGTACTCGTATTTGTTCGTACGACTCGCACTATCATATCGCCTGTATTTTCAAGTCACCCTTTTGAGATGATCGCATTATTTCCCTTTTGCATATTGATAATGGCCCTCCCAAATCCATCCGAAAAGGGTAAATGTGCGTTGTCAAGAGTGGTGGGCTCCAACAGCTTCTCTGTCTCGTCGAGATCAGGTGACTCGCTTTCAGGGTTCAATGCCGTGATTGAGGTGCTTCGGAAATTCATTTTCGTGGTCGTACTTAGCTGCTTTTTCCATACATGTAATAAAAATCTCTGTGCCGTTTCTTCATCGCCATTATTTCTAGGGAAGTATACTATAATTAACATGTAAAACTACTGATTATCATTGGGATTGTCTACCCTTTTTGACGGTCGCTCCCTCCTCCGGGTCGCCACTTTCTCCTGTCATGCCGAGGTACTTTCTTCCTTGTGCGCCTCTGGAAATCCAGAGAGTTGAGATTAAAGTGCTTCGTCAGTGACATTGGTGCTCGCGTTTTTTCAAGCCATTTTAGCTTCGTTAGTGATCATCACTCTAGAGCGCGAGTGAGGTCATAGCCTCTTGGACCAGAGGTGGTTTAGAAGAAGTAATTCTCTCTAATTCCTCGTTGCAGTGTGGATGATCTTGCACAGGTTGATAGTGTGATGTGGTGCATTTTTGTGCCAAAAACTCAAGGTACAAGCGGTGAATCACGTCTGAGATGTGGATAAACTTTGTGACAGTTGCTGTCACGAGCAAGTTTACCATAAAGATAAGAAACATGGGAAGTCAACGTGAAAATTTCGGGTCGGCGTACTTAGTGATTACAAAGTTTATCACTATCGAATGCCATTAATTACCACGAATTTGATATAGTTGGGTATGTACAGCTACAATCTACATATGCAACACATTAAATTTTGAAGATTTCGACCAAAAAATTTTTTTTTGAAGACCTTTTGATGCCTAGAGAGCATGCCTATTCAATGCTACCATGAGCGCTGAGGGCACCCATAATATGTGTTTTCAGGTAACCCATGTACAATTGCAATCATTCTTTGCTCGTTGGATTTTCTAAGAGTACATGTAAGTGACCGTAAAAATCAATTTGATTGACACATTTTGCTTGGCCTGTTGTGAAATATATTTTGGCTATTTCTTTGTTCATGATGTTTTGTATCCCTTCACTGGATTGCTTCTTGTTGAATTATTTTGCATTTGACTGGATCAGATAGTGGATATACAGTCAAAAAATAGACTAACTTGATAAATTTTAGAATTTGATTAAATTTTTTGAAAATTTTAGAACTCAATTGCATTTTTGTGATAAGTTTCAAGATTTTTCGTGCGGGTATTTGAAAATTCTTTCACTATCTCTTATTGGGACTTTTTTAATTCCTTGTTTTCAGCGGTAGTAAGAGCAAACGAAGGTTAGACACACGGAACAAATCCACTTTCCACGACTGTTCCTATGGGAGCCGGCTTGGTCATGCGCTGTCAGAACAAGAAGAAGAAGGACGGCTGACTGGCTTGGCTTGAATTCCCCCATTTCTTCAAATAAAAATCCTCTGTCGACTGCAACTTGTTGACTTTTCTAATAGCTATATACTGTTCATATTTTTCCCTGGCCGTCGAGGACTCGGCAATGACCCGTGAAGGTCGTCAGCTATAGGCAATGGTCGTGATGCCCTTGCGCAGAGTTGCCCTCACCCAATCTGCCCTCACCCAAATCAAGCGACAGTGTCATGACCCTTGCCATGCCGTCGTAGGCAATCTCCAAGGCTTCAACGAATGGTGGAGGGAAGAAGATGAACAGTAGAAGGAAAGAATAGGAAAAACAAAAGAAAAGAAAAGAATTTAGAAAGTTAAAAAAGAGTTGCAAAAAGATGTCATTTCATTTAAGATTGTCCATGTCAGTCACCGATCGTGTTACATAGGATGGCCGGCATTGATTAGACTTTCACATTCGTGCTTTCCTACCTAAATTAGGTTTTGTTAATTTTATGTATTTCCTTTAATAGATTTATGCAAAGTAGAAATTTTGTCAAGAGACGCCTCATCAAGACAATCAACTCATCTCATCTTAAGGATAATCCTCACCCGTCAGGCTTCGACATGTAACTCGCAAGTTCAGGTAAGGACACGTGGTGTGTGTCCAATGATTAGTTAATTCCGGTATTATCACTTTTCATAACTGGGGAATTTTTTGATTCCTTGTTTTCAGTGGAAGTAAGAGCAAACGAGGGTTGGACATATGGAACAGATCCTCGTTCCTACGACTGTTCCAATGGGAACCGGCTTGGACATGTACCGTCAGGACAAGAAGAAGAAGGACCGTTGACTTTACTTGGTTTGAACAACCGCCCTTCATCAATTAAATATAATTAGCCGACCACAATTTGTTGACTTACCTAATAGCTATATTAAATTGTTAATAATCATAACATAGTAGTGTGGACTTTGTCATTATTAACTAGTAATTCATCTATAACTATTTAAGATGTGAAATGTAATTTGCATTTTGATATTATAGGTTAAAAACAGGTCCAGCATGGGTCTAAAAAGTGAATTTTTGAACTAAATTCTTCCTCACCATAGTAGAGTTTTTGCTCTCTTTTCAGTATAAGCACTATTTCAACCGCATAAAATGGGACATTACAAATGTATGACTTTCATTTTAAAAAATTTAATGGAAAATTGTTACAGTTTCTTAAATATTGTGTAGAGGAAAGAAACTATATGTGTGTGTGTATATATAATTATTTATAAATGGAAGTAACGTTGATTATCTGATTTTTTTTTTAGAAAATGCACTTGTTTAAATTGTGGAATAGACCTACTTATTCCTTGACCTTTTTATGAATTGACTACGATTGTTTGTCTCTGCACCCAAAGAAAAATAAAGAATGATTACTTCAAAATTATATAAAATTAGCTTATCATCAAAAAGTTATTGCATCTAAATGCTTATATCTTGTGAGTTAGACACTTGTCCAACTTCGAGCAAAACAATAGAATGAGGCCAACAGACATGTGAAGATAATATTCTAAAGCAGTAGTTAATTCACGACTGAACTTACGAAGTAGTAGCATCACTTCAAAGGCTTAATTTTCAATATTTTGTACTAGGTGAAATGCGATGCCTGCAAACTCTATTATATACTCATAGTCAAAGAATCAAAGCTCTATGAAATCAAGAATATTCTCATGTTCACATTTATATAGATTGGCTTCTACTTCCCACAAACACATAAAGAGACTTGAGCTGAGAACACTTTTTTACAAATCCTTATGGACCTTCTCCATAGAGATTGGATTTTATCTCGGTCATTCTCATGCTTAATTACCATCATTCTTCTGTTATGTAGTGTCCTAACTTTAGCATAAACTAGTGGGCACGAGATCGATCGGCTCGCTTTGTTGGAATTTAAGGCTCAAATAGCCGATTCCAGCGGTTTTTTGAGCTCGTGGAATGATACTAGCCCCTTATGCAAGTGGTATGGCATCACGTGTGGTCGTAGACACCGAAGAGTCACCATATTGGACCTATACTCCAAGCACCTCTCTGGGGTCGTGGCACCCCACATTGGTAACCTGAGCTTTTTTAAGGAAGTCTATCTCCAAAACAACAATTTCTGCTCCGAAATTCCCCCGCACTTTGGCTGCTTGTTTCGGTTGCAGAATTTGTCCCTTCATAACAAGATGTTTAGCAAACAAATCCCTTCGAATCTCTCCCATTGCTCCAATTTGCTCGTTCTTGACTTAGGCCACAACAGGCTCGAAGGAAATTTACCTACAGAACTCAACTCCTTATCCAAGCTCCAACTACTTATACTTCAAGGCAATAGCTTGATGGGAAACATTCTGTTGTCGTTTGGAAACTTATCCTCTCTTCAAGTCTTCGCAACATTGTTAAATAACCTTGGTGGTACGATCCTAGAGACTCTTGGCTAGCTGAGAAATCTAAACACCCTCATTCTCAGCCAAAATAAATTTGTCGGTACGATTCCTATCTCGATCTTCAATATATCTGCTATGAATACTAAAAGTGTCGCAAAACCAATTAGAAGGGGGTTTACCCAACGACATGGGCTTCACTCTTCCAAATCTTGAGAAAATCAATTTGACTCACAACCACCTCACCAGACCCATTCCTGAGTCAATATCCAACACCTCTAAA